GGGTGGGGTCCGCCCGGCGGGGGTGCGCGCCCAGGGAGCCCCTCGCTGCTCCGGCCTCACCGCCCTTTCCCCTTCACGTTCCCTGGTCCCGCTCTGGCGCCCTGTTCGCCGCGCTTTTCAGTGCGGGAAAGGTCTGGAAGGACGGCGGAGATCTCTTCAACTTGGAAACATGGGGTTACCCCAAGTCATGGTGCCTGGAGAGTAGCTTCCCCGGGAAGCAGTCCCTCTCCTTCCGCTCAGTCAGGCAGAAGGCACCGTGAGGAGATGCGGACGTGGGTGGCCCCTCGCCCCTGGCGCAGCGCCTCGCGGAGGCCCCGCCCCGTGCGCGAGTTTCACCTGCGGAGACAGGTGCCAATCACGGTCGCCACCTGCAGGCCCCGGAAGGGCACGGCTTCCGGGACGCGCACCCAAAGCTGCTCCCTCCCTCTGAGACCGGGAATCACCCTTGCTCTCGTGTGACGTTGTCACTTAGAGGAGGAGAGTACTCAGCGGGCGTAGTGGTTTTCGCCCCGCCCACGGCCCGTGAGCCGCGGCCACAGCGCCCCTAAGCGGCCGCCCCGCAGGCGGCTGGGTCAGGGTGCGCCCGCTCCCGGCTAGTGCCTCCGCTCTCCGTACCGGGGCCAAGTCCGCGCCCCGAGCAAACGCAGGCCGACCCCGGGACGGCCACCCCTCGGTCTGCACCTCGTCTTCTGCTAGTCCCCCTGCCCAAGCGCTGGGGCCGCTGGTATCCTCGCTCCGGGATCCAGAGGCTCGGCTCCGGCGTGTCTCTTGGGGATCCGTGGGGCCGAGGGGCGCTCCGCGACAGCCTGGGCAGGCCGCTGAGTGGGGCGGGGAGGGGCCGGGAAAGGGTCGTCAGCCCAGCTCCCCACAAAGTGAACGATCCAGCATGTCCGAAGCATCCACGCTCATCGTGGTACCGCATTAGGTCCCTTTCGTTGTATCACGAGCTGTTCCTAGTTCTGTACCCAGCATCCCAGTTAGTTCACCAGGTGACGGGATAACGCGAAGGGCAGTTCGCATTCCTGAGGATTATCTTTTGCTTGTAAATCTTGATTTACAGGTATAAAGGGTTATGCATATTATGCGTCCTAATATATCAAACGCCTATGTTTAAGCATAAGAAAGGGTTCTAATACCTATCACTTCAGTACTTTTTGTTTTCCCGAATCTCCAAGACTGTCCCGTGACCATTCTAGGGTTCCATCACCCTGGTTTCACAGGCAGGGCCCTGTCCCTTCATGTTATGGTAATAGTTGGTTCTTGAGTGAATATCTGTAATGCTAGACATTCCACAAGCCTTGTGGCAAATAAAATTGTGACAGTGCCTGCAGAAATTCTCTTAAGTAGGAGAGGAAGACTGAAATTTAAATAGGGAGCTTGAACTTTAAACTTATTTGCCGCTACTACTAAAATTAGCTTTTACATATAGTCCTCTGTTAGTGAGAAGTAGAATGATTTTTATAAGATGAATCTTCTATTACTTTGTAAGTTGACTGTACTTCCTGGTGAAGTGATGTAATTAGAGGGCCTGTCATCATGTCTCTCATGGGAGCCTGCATGTCAGCCTGTGATTTGGGGATATATACATTCTTTTTGGTAAAGAAAAGTCAGGTGCTAAGAATGATCAATTATGGTCTAAGTAGGTGTTTATTTTTAATGTCTCTGCAGAAAAATTCGATCTTAATAGGGAATCAGTGGTTCCCCTTTTAACACAAAATGTGAATATATATAAATATTATTAATGCTAAGAAATAGAGCAGAAAGTATATCAATTTGGCTTAATTTCTACTTGGTCTTATTTTGTTGATTTAGCGGGCATTAAAAGTCAAGCCCAGGAGGTAGATTATTAAAATATTGAACTTACTCAAAGTGATCAGGCAAAATTTGTTGCTAGAAAAAAAGAATTGTTCTTTCACAGAATACTGTGAATGCCTAAAGGATTGTGCTATGAAACTGATTTCGAACCTTTTTGTGTATGGGATTCTCAGCTTTGAAATTAAAACAACAAAAAACTCCACAATTCAATATATTAAATATTAGAAAATATATAGAATTCTGTCCTTTCAATTGTCTAGCCCTCATTCAGAAGCAACCACCATCCAAACCCCTTCTTACCTTGTAATCCTTGTAATCACATGTAATTACTGGTTAACATCTTGTCATCTTTCCTTCTAGGCCTCTTTTCTTTGTATGTATGTGTTCTTCTCCTGAGAAATACACAAATAAGACTATATAAGATTCTATATGTTTCTACTGATTTAACCTGCTTTTTTCAGTTGCTATGTTGTGAATTTAACAGATATTACGGAATGCCGTCTGCATGCCAGGTGTGTTGTGGGTGCTGAGGAATCAGCAGTGAACAAAACCCACGCAGGATACCTCCCCATGTCGTGCTTACATGCCGTGGTAGTGAACCAGGTAGATAAGTAGAACGCGCAGTGTTGGATGGTGATGTGTGCTAAGGAGGAAGATAGGGAAGGGGCTCAAAGTTTGTGCGTGTCTGCGTGTGATTGGAGTTTTAGAGCGTGGCCGAAAGTTCTCAGATGGTGGTGTTTGAATGAATACTTGAAGGAGGCGAGGGAGCACCTTATGCAGGCATCTGGGAGACATTATGAACTTGTTTCTGTCTCAAACGCTTTCACCTGTGTTGAAATGACATTTTAACTGGCTGAACACTATTAACTACTCAGGCCAGGGAGCCTAACCTATCCTTACATTGTTTCTAGTATTTTTCCCCAAGAGACAACTTTGAGACAGATTCTTGAGTGAAGTCACAGGGTGCGTTTTCTCACCTTAGGATATATTTCTAGAAGTGAAATCCCTGGCTTAAAAAATGTATGTGCCTTTTAAGGGTCTTGACATACACTACCAGGTTTGGCTTTCCATACTTTTGCACCAAATTTGCTCCCAGTGATGAATGAGAATGCTTGTTTATCTGCAGCAGCCTTCACTGGTCCTTATCATTTATTTGCTCTTTGCTAATTTGCTAGATTGAAACCAGTTCCCCTGGAAAGGCCTGGGGTAATAGTTTTTATTTTTTATTTTTGACATCTTTTGACTGACTAAATACATAATGGCAAAAAGCTGTTATCAATTTAGTAGTGCTTATAAACTGATTTTTGATTAACCACAGCAGAGTTTATTAATTAAAAATATTGTTTAAAAATTTTATTAGTGAGAGACACCCCCGAGTCTTCACATAGTGCACGGGTACAGACTCGTTGGCCTTAGTGAGAGACACCCCCGAGTCTTCACACAGTGCGTGGGTACAGACTCGTTGGTGTGACCCTTCACCCTGGCAGGATCGACAGGGCACTGGCTGGAAACTCCTTAGGGATACTGTGATTTGGTGGGAGAGCAATAGAGAGTCCTTAAAACTTAAGTGTTAGATGCCTCTGTCAACTGAAGGTATTTTGTCTTTGAATGTGTGACACAGGTCAATGTAGAACTACAAGAATAATCACTTAAAATATAAAGTGCTTTTAATCATTTAAAAACGTGCCATATGCTTTCACTTACATGTGGAATCTAAAAAAAAAACAGAACAAGCGAAACAAAAACATTCAGAAACAGACCAAAGGGATGGGTACCAGAGGGAGGAGGAGACGGGGAGTGAACGGGGGAAGGGGAACGCAGTCAGTGATGTTGTGGTAAGTTTGCACGGTGACAGATGATCACTAGAATTAGTGGGGTGATCACATTGTAAGATATAAACATGTCGAATCACTATATTGTACACTTGGAACTAATATATATTGTATACCAACTACACTCAAATAAAAGTTAAAAAATATGTACTTAAAAATTGTATATTGTGTTGAATGATGTACCCCATCTCCACTAATTCTACACTTCGTCCATCCAGAACCTCAGGATGTGACTTTCCTGGGAAATAGGGTCTTTGCAGATGTAATTAGGTAAGATGAGGTCATATTGGATCAGAGTTGGTTCTAAATTAATTATGACTGATGTCCTTGTAAGAAGAGATACAGAGACGTACATGCACCCAGCGAGTATGGCTGTGAAAAGATGGAGCAGGGATTGAAGTCACGCTGGCGTTATGTAAAATCAGCACCTTGGTTTTAGACTTTGGGCCTCTGGGACTGTGAGGCCATACATTTCTGTTGTTTTAAGCCACCTAGTTTGAGGTACTTTGTTAAGGCAGCCCTAGGAAACTAATATGAGCAGGGAATGGTGTTTACCTCCGATGACTGTTAGAGCGAAGTCAGTGTTGCTGAAGCTTCTCTGCTGTGGAAGTCTTTGCTTAAAAATGTTTTTCAGCGGGAGCACAAAAACGTATGGCACTGGTGGAAGTCTCTGATTAAAGGTGGCTGGGGCATTACTAACTTTCCAAATCAGCACCTTCCTGCCTTCTCTTCCTCTCCTTCCTGTTCTGCAGAGCACAGACTGAAATCCACTGGGTCAGCCTGACTGCTTCGCATTTCCCGAGTACATACTGGTTAGAGAAGACAAACGCATGTTGCGTACCTTTTGCTGAATCTGGAATGGAGAGGCATAGGTAGTCAGCCTGTTCTCCTATCTTGGTGAATTCGTCACCCTCCAGCATCTGGAAAGGTTTTCAGTATTCAACCTTCTGACTTGGGATGCCAGTGTGCTAATGTTTGAGGGCTTGCCATGTGCCAGCCATCATGTTTGTCTCTGAAAAGAAAACTCTATCAAAGGAAGAGAAATTCATTGGCTGCACAGCAGCACATGGGCAATGTTGGACAACTAGAACACCTGCTGACGTGTGCACCTTGGTGTGCCCACCTCCTCAGTAGGCAACAGGCTATGCTGAGTCCATGCGTGATACAGTCCCCACACCTCCTAAGTGCTGGTTGTGCAGGGTTTGAGGGCCATCCTGTGTTCAGATCTGTCTATGTGGATTTCATTCTTCAGCTTCCAGAGAAATTATTGCCCTTTCTTCCAACTTCTTGGGACTTCCCACTTTGGAGACCCCGATTATTGCCCATATCCTTCTTCTTTGAATGTTAGTCCAAATGTGTTCAGGGAATCAGCGTGATGGAAGAAACTGATGTTGGTTAAACTCTTGTTGAACAAATGACATACTCATAACGATGGTGCTGGTGAACTGAGCATATGCATAAGTGCACTCTAGATTTTAGTCCCTTAAATATGCTGGGTGGGAGGAGGGTCAGTAATTGATGTGTGTGTGGTAAAAGAAGCCACTTCCAAACTTTTCCAAGGGAAAAAGCATATCCACCAGGAGCTGCCTCTGCAGGCTGCTGTCTAGAAGTGGAGGCTGTGGGCTCTGACTCTCTGGGTGTTTCAGAGCCCTACGTAGCCGCCACTGAATGCTACTGGTATTGACGGCTGATTTTAATAAAAAAAATATTTTAGAAACTTCTGAAAAGGACTAAATGCATAAAATATTATATACCCTATTTCACTAATCATAAAAGCCATTGATTATAAGATTCACTATTATGTATCACTAAAATAAAAAAAGATGGACAATTAAAGTATATTCCATTGAATGTGAGATGTTAAAATGAGGAAACACTTATGGGTGTTTGGTACTTCTATGGCTATGACTGCCAAAGCTAGAGTTGGAACCAGTCATCACCCCTCAGAGGTCAGTAGGGTCGTTGATTGTGTTGGCAGTCTTAGCTCACAATTTTTTTTTTTTTTTACTCTACATAAGGTTTCTGTTGTGTTATTGAAACTGGCCCATCACTACACTCATCTTTTCACTTTTATTTTCATTAAATGTATTTTACAGCTCCTCTTTGATGCTGACAGCCTATAATAAGAGTAAGTGTTAAATTTTAGTTTCAGAACACATCAGAGTGAAGTCCAGTTTTCAGGCTCACTGACTCAGGACACTGAATATTTCCCAGTCCCACCCAACCAACCATTCAACCAACCAACCAACCTCCCTCTCTCCCTCCTCCCTCCCT